CTTTTGTACTGTTGACATATGTTTATGTGTGCACGTGCACCTGCCAGAAAGCTGGTGGAGAACATAGACGTGAACATGTGAGATAACCAAAGAAAGATGACAAAAGGTGAAGGAGAAAAGGCGGTGAAGGCTGGCCAGGGAGTGAGCCAGGCAGTTAGGGGGCCAGTGGAGGTCTGAATTCCAATAGCGTGTGGAGAATTGAGCATCCCCCACACAGATGTTCACAGTCATCACCCAGGCAATTTATAATAATATTAACTGCCGTGACAATGGGAAGAATCAGGAGGCAGTGACATATTGGATGATAACTCTCCGAACTGGCCGGTAAGGTTATTTGCTTTGGAGCAACTGCAGGAGACAGAAGTAAAACATCTAACAAATTAATCCAGTTTGGTGTCTGATGAAAGAAAATATGACGAGGGGTACTCTTGCAGCACACACACACACTCACTGTATCCATACTAAGTGCACCAAACTGACCACATTGCTTGCAGCTGCAGTGTAGTAAACCTTATCAGAAAGACAGACAATAACATCGGTAACATTCCTGCACTGATTTATCTCAGAGATTGAAGCTGGAGGATATGTGGAGGGGCCTTCGGAGACATCCTGCCATGGATGTGTCCTTTTTACCTGAAACAAAAAAAACCTAGGAAAAATTTTCTGTGTGCTGCTAAGTATCAAAGGAGATTAACTGAGCTTAAGTCGTAGTCAGATACTGAGATTTATGATCTGGAGAGGAGGCGACACCTGGCTGCGTCAACAATTCCGGCACATACACGGAGACACGTACACAAGGAGTTGAGATGAGAAAGTCAAATGTTTTTTGTCTTGGGTACGCTCTCATCTTTTTGATGCTTAAAATTTCCATCCGACAAAGACATGAACTTGAATCGTTATTGCACTTATTTATTTGATAAATTGCACATTTTTGGAGCATTTTCACAATAACCTCGTGAGGATGCATTAAGCCTCAGACAGAAAGAAAAGTAGGAACATTGTGCAATTGATGTGAGCGTCCCCAGGAATTTTTTATTAAATTGGAAAGTAATAATTAAGCATGCTCTGAATAGCATTCATGTGCACGTACAAACACACACAGATATATTCATCATGGAAGTTCGCTATCCTGCATCTTTGTTTTATATATATATATATACACACACATATATATATATATATATATATCGAGAGAGGGAATTTCTTTAATGCGTCAAAGATTATTAGCAAAAGTGCTACAATATAAAGCAAAAACTTGCACTTCTGTGATGAATATGTCTGTCCACGCACCCGGTAGCATTCACACACTCTCTCACATTTCAAAATACTCTGTTTTCGCCCATCTGCTACCTCAATCTGACCCACTCTGGTCCGTGACACCCGTGGTGTCTGTTGGCATGTGAAGTACAAAGGGCACTGGCTTATATCACATCTTGTTCGGGCCCCATGTCTGCTTTTAGCTGTAGTTCAGAAGCAATAGAGACATCGGCCGGGTCAGTAGGGGGAAAACAGAACAGATGTGTGCGTTGTGCAGATGGGTCCGGGTGCCGGATGAAGCAGGGCCTGGGGGAGGGATTGACTGTGAAACAGGGCGGGGTTCGAGTTTGATGCAGGTGGGAGAGGGAATGGGGGCAAAGATGCCATGGCAGCAGCGGCGGCAACAGAGAGCTGACGCTGGAGGACACAAGACGCCAGAGGCTTGGTCAGATCTTGGTTCTTTCGTAAAGTCAGCCTTATCTGAGGATGAAAGACAGGCAGACAAAGTAGTATCAAGTTGATTGTTTTTCCTGGGAAATTAAACAGTTTAAAGTAGGAAAGTACAAGCTGTTCCATTTATCACCAGGCATTTTTATTAATAATCCACTCTCTGTTCCAGTGAAATCCTGCCCTTTTGTCCAACTCATCATGTCAAGGGGTTAGAATTCAGAAAATTTATTATCCTTGAGCTATTGCTGACTATTTGTTTCACTGGCAGTAGGGAGTGGAGCTTCCTGGAAGAAGCCCATGAGGATCAACTCATGTACACAAACACAATGATGAGGGGGTGAAAGTAAGTCAAGCAATAACATGGTACTCACTGCCTGGAAACTCTGGTGACGCTGGGTGAGGGTGTAGGGGCTGAATTTAGGCTTGGCTGGTTTACCTGCCGCTCTGTCCTTGTGTCTCCTGCTGCTGATGTGCTGGAGTCGAGGAAAGAGACACGTAGATAAGCACACAGCAAAAGAAACCCACACAGACACGGGCTGCAGCAGAAAGATGGCATGGGTGAAAGAAGAAGGTGATGCTTGGTAATCTGAATAATGTGAAAAAGAAATTAAAGGCAAGCAGGAATCAAAGCTCCTATTTTTGGCAATTCAGGCAGACTGTTTGTATTTTGTTGACTCTGAATTTGAGACTCCAAATATTTATGAGGGGCGGGTTAGGAAATCTTTTAAAATTTGACTGACAAGCACAAACAGATGGCTGTGGCCAACGCGCCACACAATCAGCAGCAAGCTGCTAAATATTCATGAGCACCTGGCCAAAGTTAACTTTTAAACAGTCGGCGGTGAAGACCAACGCTATGCATTCACATCACGAACAGAGATGCTAACATCATATTCAAATGCTCAGTGAAATAGCAAAGGCTTAGTAGCTTTGTGCTTTTTATCTTGAGGGATCTGTGATTTTAACTCACCTGCAGCGACAGGTGTGAGCCGTTCACACTGTGATTGAGAATAAAATTTGCATGGCCCTGAGTTTCCCGTCTTTAATGCATGATGGATAAAGTGACGATGGAACGCGGTGGCTTTGTACTTCCTGAACTCTTTGAATAGCAAATCTGTGTGACAGCTGACCTTTTAATAACTTTACATGCACAAGAGGAACTAACCAGTAAGTTAGTGCAACAATCAGTTTTCTTATGTTACCTTCCATTGGTCACTCCCTGAGGGCAGGAACAAAACAACTACTGGCAATCAGTGTGCAATAAAATAAGGTCATTGCATGGTGTGACTGCGAAAAGCAAGGGATCACTTCTTGGATAAATCTAATTAAATAAATTTGCTTTCTTCCTCAAACCATACAATTGAAATTTTGCTGTACATTATATCATGTGATTCCTGTAATGAATACCAGACACTTGTGCATTGCAATGTGCGTTAAGATAAATATCTAATGAGCCAATCGCATGGCAGCAACTGAGTGCATTTAGGTATGCGGAGCTCAAATCATTTCAAACTGGTTTCTTGGACATGACAAGAGTTTAATGTACTCAAACAACCTCCACAGTCACCAGATCAAAATCTAAAAGCACACTTTTGGGATGTGGTAAAAAGGGAAATTAGCATCATGGATGTGTAGCTGAAAAATCTGCAGCAACTGTGCACCCGACCAAAATGCTTCCTGCAGCTTTATGAATCTATGCCATGAAGATTCAATTCAGGTCCAAACACAAAGCGAGTCTAATCTGGTACTAGCAAGGAGTACCTAGCAAAGTGCATGTATATTTCTCATCATGTGAGTAGTTTTTCATGCAAGCATCTCTGTTTTTTTTTTTTAGGTAAAAGCAAATGCAGCGGAATATTAACATATATATACAAAGTTTTTTGTATTAATCATGTTGTAATTGTAATTAATTGATGTTTGTATTAAAAATCTATAAACCACCTTTCATGGTAAAACATTTTAAGATTCTATATAATGTCAAACACAGAAGTGCTTTAGCCATGATATAGATATATTACAATATATATTAGCAATAATATAGATATGTAAGTATATTACAGAAATAGGTCTATTATGGTATGTTATAATGTACACGGTATGAAGTATGTTATGAAGTATGTTATGAATATTCTATAACTATAAGTATGTACAGGCTGTAGTGAGTACAAGCTATGTACAGGCTATGAACAGGATATAAATATGAAATAAAAAACTTATTGCACGGATCACCTGTTTGAGCTGAGTCTCAGAGTTGACGTGCACGTCGCAGATCTCACAGTGGAAAGTTTTATTCTGGAGTCCTGTCGATGACTCAGATGGTGCAGCCATCTTGCCTTTGACCCCCATCCTGGGGAAGGATTTGATGGCTCCATCGCCACTTCTGGCCTCGAGCATGGTCTTGTGCTTGGTGCCTGAGCAGATATAAAGTCAGATCAACAAAGTATAGAAACACGCTTCATGTGGGCAAAGTCTGGCCGTGGCAGCGACTGCCTCTCACCACTGTTGTGGGCCTGAAGCTGGGAGGCTGAGTTGACAGCCACCTTGCAGAGAGAGCAGTACAGAAGACGTATAGCTTTTGCTTCTTCGGTCTCCTCTCCTGGAGCTTCTGCCTCTCCATCTTTTGGTGCCTCTTTCTCTGTTCTCCTTGAAATGGGTGACAAGGAAGGGTCAGAAGGTGCTTTCACAGTTTCAGTGGAGCCACTGGTTGATGGTGCCATTTCTGAGGTAGGGTTCAGCGATGAAGGCTCTAAAACAAAGGGGGGGAAAGTAAGGTTATACTTTAATATTTGACTGTTTGGATATTCATCGTCTGGGTAGATATTCAGTTCTTAACTGTGATATTTGAATGTGCTTGCTTGAATGTGTATTTTTTTTCTGTAGACTGAAGAAATAAATGGATTTGTGGTGATTTAGTTAAGACACTGTAGCCATCTTAGCAACATAATTTCTAGATTTAGTACACATTTATCAACTTTTATGGCCAGTGAAGAATCTCAGTCTACGAGGTCTTGCTCTCCACGGCTCGCTCTCCCTTGCTCTGTGCTCTGTTCACAGAGCGGCACAGCGCAGCAGCACCTTAAAGCTTTTAAACTTATGCGTGTGGTGATTTTGTCAGACAGTGTTGGGGTATTAAATTCAGATGGGAAACTTTGAATTTTTTCTGTTGATTACTGCTGAAGCTTCAAATCCTGTTGGCAAGAATGAGCACTAAGGAAGACAAACGTGAAGATTTTTCCACTTCTATGAAATTCCTGAATTCTTTATGATAAGAGAAAGATAAAAGCTCAGCAGGCTACACATGATTATGAGCTCCATCAACCTCTCTAATCACACTAATAATCAATGATTTCTCCTGAGTTTCTGCCTCGCGGCACTTAAACGGACACTTTCGTATAGAGATGATTTGACTCTGTTATCTTTTGTGGTGCCCACTTTCCCACAGAGGAGCGTGTGCAGATTTAAGGATTCACTCTCTGTTAATAACAATGATTATTAGCTCTGCCTCACTGAGTGGGTGTCTGTTTGTTACCACTGATTCCCCACTCTCTCACTAAAGTAATCTTCAGAGAGCGCTCCTGCTTCTCATCCACTTCCTCGAAACTCTTGAAATGATCATTCACCCTCTCACTTTCTCGAAAACAAACTCTCCTGTCGGCGTTGTCAAGAATATTTCTTCAACCTCTTTCTTCTTTAGCTGTGGCGAAATGCATTATTTTCAATCCTTAAACGCCCACGCATGTGCAAAAGTAGCACATCAGCACTGGCACAAATATAAACAAACGCTGGAAAGCAGTCTGTGCTTTGACACGCCGCCACACTTGCATGCCTGCAGACGCACATGTGCCCAAGGCCCTTGAGCAAACGTACACTCATACATAGTGGAGGAGAGCTACCCACAGATCATATTCAACGCATTTTCAATGCTCTTTTGATCTCAGGAGACCACTGAATGAGGTCAGAAAATGTAGACACGAAGAAGAAGCAGAGGATAATGCCCAACCTTTAATCACTTCACCGTGCAACCCAAAGCAGCAGGTGGTTTATCACATCAAAGAGTTAAGGTCGTGACTAGGAAAAGAAGGTCTGAGCCGTGCGTTCATATGGCTAACGGTGTCATGCGCGTGATGTCTGTGCACATGTGTGCATGCATGGTTGCAGAAATGCACTCACCTCCTGATGTTGTGTCAGAGCTGGAGGGCCGTGAGCACGATGACAACAGGACTGCAGTTTCCTTGGAGACCGGTTCACAGGTCCTGATCTTTGAATCTGGGGCGTCCAGAGCTAACAGCTTTTTCGCATGCTTCGTGCCGGTATAATGGGAGGACGCCTGAGCCTTGATGCCCAACAGCAAAAGAAAAAAAAAGATTTTGCTTCATGCAGTAAAGTGGTTATCTTTACTTTACACAACAATGCATGACTTGAATATGAATGGAAATACTGCAGAAAGCTATCATTCTCTGACTTGCTTACTTTTGCCAGTGTAGTAAGTAACCAAGTGGTAAGTCGTTAAAGTAAATAAGTGCAGCACTATGTGCACTTTTTCCACATTTTTACAAAGATTTCCGTACAATACGTGACAGTACTTTGCAGTTGTTGAGTTGCTTTCTTATGAGTCATGCTATGGCACAAATAATACAAAATGAATTTTCTACCAAGATCAAATATCAGGGGAGATCACATTTGACCCAGTAATTAAGTAAGAAAGCTTTAAACCTTCAAAACCAGTAAGACAGCCATGTGTAAGGGCAGGTCTTCTCTGTGGTTCAACTGTCATGTAAGGGTGTGTGTGAGAAAAACAAGCGCACCTTGAAAGACAAAAAACTATTGACAAAGCGTGTGTTTCCCACACAGCATCGCCCACCTCAGAGTTGAATCTAAGACGACAGACGCCGCAGGAACTGGGCTTTCTTATTAAGTGTGACGTTAGCCCGAAGCCTGGGCCAATCAGAGCTTTATGTATATGATCCATCTGCAACAAGGAAAAGTGAAAAGTTATGTCTGAACTGGTTTTGGATTATGCTCTAACAGACTTGACTGAGTTAGGTAGTAAAAAGTGATCTCCTCTTTAAATGTCATGCTATCAGCAGGTAATTTTATCTTTTAGGACCTACTAAGGGTGTTGGTGCCCATAAACATAACAATATTGATGTTCACACATCTATCAGTGAAATCAACAACACAGCAAACCACGTGCTCTCTGCTGCCTCGGCTTGCCCGAGACAAATACCAACATATCATCTTGACTGACATGATGTAACGTGACTTAGAAAAGCTTTCACAGTGCCGTCTGTTTGGTCATTTCAGCTGGGATTAATTACACTGACACTGAACTGTTTTCATGGGATAGAACAGGATTCAAAATGTTTATATGAAACCTGTCACACCACTCTGCAGCATAACGCACTTGTCTGCTGCCCACAGGTTTTCTCCACATGTTCCAAATGGTCACGTGTGGTAAAGCTTTTTGCCCTTGTGGCCATAAGCACTCTGAAGAGCAAAGCCAATCCTGAAAAATTCAGTGCACTGTGTTTAACGTATTTTATTCACACCACAATATAGAAAACACATCAAATGTTAAACTGAGACATTTGGTATTTCATGAAAAATATAGCAACAGATCTCAAAACAGTTGGCACAGGAGCAAGAAAAGGCTGGAAAAGTAGGTGGTGCTAAAATGAAACAGCTGGAGGAACTTTTTGCTAGTAATTGGGTTAACTGGCAATAAGCCAGTAACATGAGATATCTTAGTGATGCAAAGTTTCTAATCTCTAAAACTGGGCTGCGGTGCACCAACCTGCTGAAAGATGTGTCTACAAATTGAGGAGTAATTTCAGAACAGTGTTACTCAACGTAAAATTGTGAAGGGATTGAATACCACATTATCTACATTGCACAATATCATCAAAAGATTCAGAGAATCTGAAGAAATCTCTGTACAATTTCTGAAGTGGAGGGAGGATGGATGGATGGATGGATGGATGGATGGATGGATGGATGGATGGATGGATGGATGGATGGATGGACAAAAAAAAACACAGAGGACGGTTGAACAGCAGCTACTCTCCTCAGTTCCCAGACATTTACAGACTGTTAAAATAAAAAGGGATGCTGCACAGTGGTAAAATGGCCCTGCCCTTCTTTCTGCACATCACTGTTGGAGTCCACTCAGACCACCTTGAAGCCATGTGCCACAGCCTTTGCTATCCATAACAGAGAAAACACAAAACCTTTTACAGGCACCTTTAAAACCTGCAGGGGTGAGAGTTTTACTCACACAGCCCTATTCCAGGAAGACTTCATAACACCAAATGTGCAAATGGTCTTTCCAACTGAACAGCAAGAAACCATTACCATATTAAGAAAACGAAGTTAAATAGCTTTAAATTGCGTGCAGCATAATCATGTTTGTGTTGCCTCGTACTGCAGATCAGCTAATGAAGTTTCAGACTTTTTCACCCCCCCAGACTACTTTTATTTATGCGTGTAAGAGAGAGGCAGTAAACCTGTCCATGCCTTTGCATATATGCGTGAACACAATACCATTATCTGACCACACAACACTGTGCACTGCTGGACATTGCTGGAAACTGTAATGAGCAAAACTACTCAGTGTAATAAAACCCAACTGGCCTTTGTGGAGCAAAACAAGACTATTACCTGAGATGAAATGTAGGAGGCCATATAAGCAGCCAAAGTGGGCGGGGAGTGGGGAGTGTGGAGTGGGGGTTTTATGGAAATCTGGTTAGTGGTAAAAGTAAAAATTTATGCATTCTTATGGGTCAGCCAGCTAGTCCTCTAACCCCAGAGAACCCTCAGTATAGCACTGCAGTGGAGATGTACCTTGTTTCTTTAGAGCCAAACCTGAACACGTTCTTCAAAAGTGAAAAACTCAACATTGGGTGTGCGTGTCTGTGTGTGTGTGTTCTCACTACTTTTCTTTGATCATCACTCTGGGCTGCTACACTGGAATGTATCTGTGCAGTCGCAAGTCTCTTATCTCCCTGTTTCCCTGCAGCTGTTTGTCTATAGAAAACTCCAGCAACCTTACATAAAAACAAACATATATCACGTGTATCATGTGTAAAATGCAAAAAGTCGTAGAAATTTAAGAAACAAAGCAAAGGACTAAATCTGTCATGTAACGTGTGACAAACATCTTTATGTGAGAGTATTTTTGACATCTTTTTTATGCTTCTGTGAATGAGATCGAACAGTTTAACATCAGCTAACAGCCCGCTCGCTCCCTCCTTGCTCCACAGCCCCAAGGTTCCTGTATCTCCTCCTGACCTTCCATCACACGTTCCTCACTTCACCCCTCCATCTGCTTACCTCTGAACCCTCTCCCTTCGCCTGCGTCTGATCAAAGTCACCTTCCCGGCTCCCCGTGGAGTCACCCTCTTACCCTCCACTCCCACTCGGCACTACGATGGACTAGCACCTGCAGCAAAGTCAGTTTGCCCTTCTTACTCATTGCCTCTTCAGTTTTGTTTTGCACTCGCACAAATACATATATCACATGCAGAAACAAATCTGCCACTGTGAGCTCATGAAGAGAAAGGAAAGCAGTACATTCAGTGGATTGTACACTAAATAAAGGCATCACATCCACCACACAGCATCAATTATATCCAGCATATTCCCTCCAGAAACCTCCTCGCACACAGGGTGTCAGCATGTCAGACATGCTCTGCTCCAGGGAGTCAGTTATGGCTGAAACATATGGCCAAGTGAAGTAAAGCAGACTTCTAACTTTATAATGATGAATGCTCCTGGATTTACACTGTGTACCAGCATGACAGGTATGTGTGAATGTCTGACGTCAAACACCTAAAGGGAGTGAGTTCTGACGAATGAGCTGCTGCTTTTGGGCTCTTTGTCATTTCAATTATTTTATTCTTGGAAACAATATCTGGGTTTTTTTGTTTCCAAAACGAAAGAAATAAAAAGAATGCGAGCCAACCAAGCTTCTGAAGTCCAAGTTTTAAAAGCAGAGGTCCCTGAATCACGACAAGCATCCGCACACATGCCTGCAACCCTGTAGTCATGACAACGCACATGTGGTCACCAAACAAACTCCTGTGCAGAGTTTAATGGAGGCCAAAGCACACAAGTGAATGCACTGCTTACACACAAATACACACACACGAAGAACCCACACATAAAGAGACACATTTCAGAAGAAAACACAGGCCGTCAGAGTTCAGCTGCGTGCCCACTTACTTCACACCCACAGGTTCGATTCAGAGGAGCAAGACAATTCTCTGATAAAATACGTTCTAGACGATATTTTATTTTCGTTCAGCTCATTCCAAACACTCAAAAGCAACTGAAGGATATGGGGACCTCAGAGGTTTAATTTATTTAATAAAGACAGCAAAACTGAAAGAGTTCAGCGATTCACAAATGAGATTATGTCTGCATAACCCAAAGGGAGTACAGCAGGATTAGTTCAACTAAAATGACAAAAGAGAAATTAAAATGCTCTGAATTTTTTTTTAAAAAGTGCGTCTGAACAGATTTGAGAAGAAAAACTAAAATTAACACATAAGTATTAGAAAAAGATATCCAAACTTCATTTATAAATTATGTTAGTTTGTTTCTGCCACTGAAGAAAATTTTAGTTTGTTGTCCAAAGTCAAAATTTAAGGTTTGTACCTTCGAATTTCAACTTAACATCTCGATTTTTGTTACATTTTGAGATAGTGAGCAAGTTGAAATTTTGAGATATTCAGAAATTTAAAATTATCTCTGTATGTCAATTTTTTTTTTCCCAGTGGCAGAAACAAGCTTCCATAACAAATGATAATAGATTGTAGAGGTAGCTAAAATTAAAGCTAAAATTTTCCAATCCAAAATTCCAATCCAAGCCGTGTAACGTATACGCACAATTCAGCCTCGAAAAACAGTGAAAAAAATGAAGTGACCATCAAGCAATGATGAATTGGTCATGATGTTTCTAAACAAGGAAAGTAAGAAACTAAGATTCTGGGTTCATCTAATTTTCACAAAAAGACAGCAGCAGGGAGAATTTTATGGTTTGATCCAGGAGTTGAAGCTTTACCACGACTGCTTTCGTACATATTTCAGGATCTCAGTGGGGCCATTTGAGCTCTTGTTGGCAGAGTTGGGGCAGAGTTTGAGGAAGGAGAGAAATAATTTCAGAGAATGATTGACCCGGAGCAGCATCTAGCAGTGTGTCTGTGGTATAATAGAATAGTTTAATATTTCCATCTCAAATACATTCAGTACTGGTATTAATTTGAGTTATGAGCGCACATATTGCCAAATGCAGTGATTGGTCAGATTTAGAAAAATAAATGCTACAAAACATCCAGTGAAATTACGTGGTCGGTGTGAATGGTTACATTAAGAATAGATGAGTCTGAAAAATATTTCTAACGAACAAAACATTTGTTTACAGGACCTCACTCTGGAAACTGTTAGCGCACAATATGGATGAACTATTGAAGCTACTAGCTACTAACTACAGTCCCTCAACTTCTACTCTCTTTTAATGTTTCTAGTAACTTAACAGTATAGATTAAAAATTGCTTACCTTATTAACTTTTTGTTGGATTAACCAAATTGAAAGTTTAACCGTTTGGGGGGTCGGTTACCTTTTTGATTCAAAGTTTTTCATTTTTAGGTTAAAAAAATAGCTAAACAGTTGAAATTATAAGCGAAACAAGGACGAAGAAACAAGCAAGAGTTTTGTCAAAACATCACTAAGCACTATTAATATCTGTTAAATAGATTAGCGATTAAAAACATTGCCTGCCAGTTATGACTGAACTGTTGACATAATGGCAAGCTAATTAGCTAATGTAAATGCTAAAATGTAATGGGAAGCTAATATTTTAACCACATATCAAATTCTCTTATCATCAGTGAGGGCATTCACTGCTTTCCTCGTCATTTCTGACAGTAAAATTACTATATGTGGGTTTTTGACACTGTCACTATTTTCTTAAACTTTACAGAGATAATGATTAGCAATTAACTGAGATAATAGCCTGTAGCTAATTGCAGATTTCAAGTTTACAGAGGTGGCAAAGAGGGCTTTTAGTGTGGAGATATGCTGGATTTTAAGTTTTTAGCCAATACTCTTTCTCTAACCTTGTTTTCCAAAAAAGGAGTTAAATCTCCAACATTACTCATTCAGCATTAAGAGTAGTGAACAATGTAGTGCTCAGTCACTTTTTACAGGTGTTACACTATTTCTGTGGCTGCCAACTGGGAGATGTGTTGAACATGGGGTAAAATCAAAGAAATGACAGAAAGAGACAAACAGGGAAAAGACAGCAGGGAGAGTATGAGTGAGATATTTAAAAACATTTTTCTGTCCGTGCTATATTAAGGTCACCCAGCAATAGCAACAAATATTGTAATATTAAGTTTCTTATTATGTGCCTTACATTTAGTAGTGAACAGAGGAGTTCAAAGGAAGGTGAAGTGGATCTGAAAGCTGCAAAAGGGAGAAAAAGCGCACAAGAGGATGAGGGAGAGGAAAGATGACAGCAGGGGACAAAGTGGAAAATACATATGAAGAGAGAGCTGAAGTGATGAGGGCGTTGGAGCACAAGCAACACAGAAAGTGGAAGGGGTGGATGAAAGCGAGGTGAAATGGGAGGCAAGAGGGCTGAGACCTAGCGCAGTGTCTCCCTGGGTGGCAGATGGGCTTTTTGACAAAGAGACGGACGCTACACACAATCCCTCACACATGCAAAATAACTGCTACACTGTGAGAGGCCACAAAAGGCAGACAAATACACTCTTTTTGAACCCTCACGTGTCTCTTCTGAGACATCTTCTAAACATCTGACAGCATATCATGGGAAAGAAGAGTAAAGACGAGGGAGGAACAAAAGCACAATTGTCAGCTCTGCTTCCGAGCAGTTATTTGGTCAGACTCAATGGAGTTATGAGTATACTCTTATAGACACAGCCAAGGCATTTAACACCTTGGATTATACGAAGAGATATCACACGATTTCCGTGTAAACCATACATCAACCCTCAGCCTGACACATCTACAGTCCTCTGGGCTTAGACTTGGCCTGCCTTGGTTCTATCCACCTTCACCTTTCACAAACACCGGGGCAGACAGCTCTAAGAAAAGCTCTGCAGGAGGAATACCAAGGATTCAGCTCCACACCCCCCAGGTTGTGTGGAAATGTCACAGCTCTCTGCATTAGGGATGATATATTTGGAAAGGTGTAGGCAGCGTGCTCATACATCTGTGCATTGAAATTTTACTTCATGCAGGCAGACTATTCCACGAAATTAACTCCTCCGCTTGAGGCAAAACATTGGTATGGTAAAATGAACAATTTTGCTTTTGATAATAATAATAATAATAATAATAATAAAAGGCATGAGAGTGCAGGTGGTGAGAGCTTTGTTGCCATGACAGCTACGATGACTGACAGTACTCACGTCAGTGAATCCAGGCAGCAGGTGGAGGGGGAGGAGGGCTTTCGGGTCAGGAGAGGGCTGGGTCCTGCCCAGCGTGGGACGAGCCAGCGGCGGCAGAGTGCTGTGGCACACATTACCTGAGAGACATCACAGGAGGAAGGAGACAGGCAGATAGATAAACATATGGAGCAATGACTCGATGGCGATGAGGTGGTACCTTTGAGATGATGATGATGATGATGATGATAAAAGCTAATAGACCAGAGCGAACCATTCTGTGCTCAAAAACTTCTCTGGTTGCAGTGTTTTGATACATTTTTGATGCTTTCTTACATCTTTGTCTTGTCTTATTTGAATTTAAACCTTATTACATAAAATGCTTTTCATCATTTGTGTTAATGTTTTCAATTCAAATAAGATGTTGAGCCAATTTGAGTGCATTTGGGATCAGTCCAGCTATATTGTAGCCCAAAACATGAAATTTGCTTTCATGGGATTTTTTAACTGGAAAAAATATACCAATATTTGATCCTAGTGGTCTTCTCTCAATCACAGACCCTGGAAATTACTTAAATAGGCACAGCTTCTGTCTGAACAGCTATAAATCATCTTATGTTGCTTTGAAACACCCACTTTGCTGTAAACTGTAATCAAGTACAACTTCCTAAGTTCTTAGAGTGGCTCAGTGGTCAGTATCTCCATTCTAGCAACAGCAGATGGCCACCCGTCCCTGAACCTGGTTCTGCCGGAGGTTTCTTTCTGTTAAAAGGGAGTTTTTCCTTCCCACTGTTACCAAGTGCTTGCTCACAGAGGGTGGTCTGATTGCTGGAGTTTTCTCTGTATTATGGTTGGGTCCTGACAATGAAATGTGCTTTGAGGCAACTGTTGTTGTGATTTAGTGCTAGATTGAATTGAAATGGATGTCAAAGTGTCCTTGTGTAAGATACTGAACCCTTGTACATGTTTTGTTTTTGTCATCCATAAGTGAAAAATTTAGCTCATTTAGCTCAAATTTTCAAGAACTAACCATCTGAAGAAAATAACTCAAAACTGAGAAACTAACTTTATCTAACTTATTCAAAATTTTGAGATACTTGCCTTAAATTTGGGTAGCAAAAATAAATTTAAAAAGAGAGAGAGAGAGAAAACTGCAGAATTTGAGTAAAACTGTACTTTTCATACTTTTGTTCTTTGACTAAATAAAGGCTATGCAGGATTCTTCTACCTCTTGCTGGGGGGATGCATTGTATGCTGTAATTATGCTGGGTACAAATGCGGCCTATTATTTTCTTGACAACCTTCCCAGTTTCATTTTTCTTTGTCACTGTTTTTTTTTTTTTTTGCTTTTAAAATTATTTACTCAAATAAATCATTTTAGAGGGGTTTTTTTTACACATACGAGCAAGCAATCAGCCCTTTCAAAACACTTTTTGGTGACGGGGGGGGTCTAATCAAAAACAAACTCAAATATATGCCAAGCACGTACATAAGTGCACATGCAACCTGAAAAACAGTGCACGAGTATGTTGAGGCCATGGCTGATAAGGGTCTTGTTTGTTGTGCTGAGTGATTATAGAGCCTTATTTTCTATAGTTTGCATGTTCTCTCAGCTTGATTACAGTTTGATTTAGGACCGTGTGTAATCATCGCAATCACAATCATAACACACCCATCCGCTCTGCCATTACTCTGATTAACTGACTAAAGTCTTGTAGGGTGCACGTGTGGGTGCGCGCACGCAACGTTGCGTGATTGATCTGATTTGCTTTTGGGATGGATTACTTTAAAGAAGTTATTATGCCTTTGAGAAACACGTGACAGACTGCAGTCTGTTAAGAGCAGCGGAGTGACAATCAATAACTTGCAGGCAACGATCAAAAGCAATCAAACAGCCCAATCGTGAAACCCGTTTAAAATGCAAGTTATGAAATCTAAGAAACGCAGTAAAGTAGCTTCTGTCTTCTCTCAGCATGCTGTTACTATATTTTTGCATCTCTTTTATGCATAGACTAATATTTTCGATACTTATTTTTGCGTAAACGGACTTTAAAGTCAAAAACACCGTGATATAACGTGTGCGCTGAGTCCCTCTGTCTATACCGCTGTGCAGGTGACTGACTTCACGAAGCTCACGTCCAATCCAACATAGCAACAGGTGACTCCGCTTATTACCAGCCTATTAAAAAACTAATGTAAAACAACAATAATAATAATAAAAAGCTTCGTTTACATACCAAAGTACATTGCGGCACCAAGTGAGATCCGATTGTTCAGTGTGTGATAAAAGTGTCTTTCATCTCCGAGCAGAGATGAGGCTTCGTGTCTTCTGCTCCAGTCTCTCTCCCTCTCTCTCCTTCTTTCCTGCGGCGCCGATGCTGCTCCTTCCCATCTGGATTCCCTCCTCCTCCTCCTCCTCCTCCTCAACTACTCACCCCTCCTCCTCATCTTTACACAATCCGTGTAGAAATCTGTCCGTGTATCTACATCTCCCAGAAGTCTGGTTTTAATTTGGCAAATACCCGGAAATTACCTTAATTGGTACACATTACCACCCAGGATTTGTGTAGCCCCCACACACACACCACTGCACCCTCAGTGCCAGCATCCACAAACCAACAGGCGCATTTTTAACTCGTTGGAACAACAGAAATTATTTAGGTTTAATTTGAACTTCTAGTTGACACATCCACAATAAAAGTGCATGGGAAAGGTGCGCACGGGAAAGGAAAGGAGAGACCTGTGTTCCACTTATTGCTTTGGTAAGTGCTTTCCCATCCTCCTTTTCCTCTCGGGCCTATGGTATTTTTAGATGCATCCTTTCGCTCCATGGAGAGGAAACTGCACACGGACACATACAGTAGGTGAAAACATCACAGTTTGCCACACATACGTGCAAGCACACTTTAATGTGAGCTTGCAAATTCTATAATCATTCATCCTTAAAAAGAACATGGATCGCTCCTGTCTGTCTTTCTGACTTGCATGCACCCGCAAATGCCTGGAGAGCTCAGATGTACTGTATCTTTTGGCAGACTGACTTTCTTGTCCTCGAGCCCAAACATGTTTTATCCCTGTGCCAATAAAGTGGACAACAACATGTGTTTTCCCACAATCCAAAAACTCTAGGGAGACTTATCTCAGGAAGGCTGTCAGTTCAACAAGTGCTGTCCTGAAACTACACACACACACACACACAGAGAGAGAGAGAGAGAGAGAGAGAGAGACTTTGTGTGCTCACAGGCTATTTTAATTGGTAATAAACAGACAGGCACACACAAATGTGTGATTAACAAGTGAAGCAAAAAGAAGCCACACAAACCAGGCATTAAGTGAACATAAATAATACAAAAGCGTGGCACGCAACAGGCCTCACTCGGAGTCATTCAGTAGTGTTTATTCAGTGGAACAAAATAGTGTGTGATGTGCTTGTTCGCAAATAAATGCGGTGTCTTTACACTCAGGGCGTATCTCCAGCCTGAGCCATTTCATGTGGACTGCGCCTCCATTCATGAGCCACATGGAACAAAAGCTGAGGAGGAGGAAAATACAGACATGGAAACATCTACTCATAAACTCAATTTCACGCCCCTTTTGTCACTCGCCGCGCTGCCAGGCGTTTTGTGTTCCCCTGAGAAAGAGCCGAGGGCTTTTAGGGGGCTATGTGCGCTAGCTGTTATTGCCTGTCCCATTCTTTTGCTGGAGATGGCTGAAAAGTTTTGCTTCATCTCAGTGTCACACATTTGGAAGCCCGTGGTTTCACATTCTAGTTTTAGCCACGTGGCTTCTTCTCCTCCAGTGTAGGAGTGGTGCCAGGGTGAGAAATCACCTCTGAAATATTGGCGCCAAACTTTTGTCAGGCCACCTTGAAGAAAATGGATCAGTGGAGCTGTGGTCAGAGCAGCAAAACTACACAAAAGTCAGGTGTTATGACTGAGGATAGAAGACTTTATTGTGCTAATGTGCCAGAACAGCCTTGCCTGCTTCCCACTCTCCAGATGTCATCACTTAAAGCAAAAATTCAAACTTGAGAGCAGGCAGAAAGCTCACCTGTGACAGCAGAGCTAATCTGTTAATGGCACTCTTACTTTACTTTGTTTCTGGACTCAGCTCGAAGCAGCCCACAAATAGCAGATCGATAAATAATTAATAATAGAAATAATAGCTTTACACCTGCAGCTGTTTAGCATCACTGACTCACAGACAAACACTGAGGCTGTCATGGCAACTGAGGTATGTAATATTATGTTAAGTGGACCGATGCTGAGGCTTTCAGCCTCGTTTGTGGCTGTCAACCTGTTTAATTGCATGCTGGAAAGGAATCTTGTGACCCCAGCTGGGCCTTGAGCACAGACAGCCAAGCACAACGGGCTCCGTTATGAAATTAGAGGCTTTTAAAGGAGTTAATTGACTCGAGTATATGGGGAGGCGATACAGCCAAGCACGAGGGGGCAGACAAATGTGCAAACACTAATCTAGAGAACTGAATTATAGGACGTTTTAATTCCACGATAAGCCGAGCCGAGACTAAAACACCTCCGGTCTTCAACAGAGATCGATGAAAGCACTCTTTAACAGTTTGCTTGCGATGAACTCGAGGCAGTAACCCACCTCTCTGCCCATTTTCAGCTTTCTTTTCCTCCACTGCGCCTTTTTATTTTATATTTTTTTGAGAGCACACACAGGCACCCATCAGCTCACCTCTCTTTTTGATTGGTCGCCATAACAACATCACCATGGCAATGAGCGGCATTGACTTGGATTCTATTTATGCGATGATGTCAGCTGATGTGGAAATATCAGTGTGTGCTCTTTGCTGACAGATGCGGGATGATGCAGGAATGTGGGCCGTCACACACACTCACGCCCAGACGTTGTTTTCACGTCGTGCACATTTGTAGCTGTGAACCCACACAGTAAGGCGCGAAAAAAAATCTGCAACAGGTGCAAGTTATGTATTTAATGCGTTTTTAAGCATGCCCACATGATGCTGCTATTCAGTGAAAAGCAGGTAAGTGGGTGACATGCATTCAAACCACTTTATCTCTTCTCATTTGCTCATTCAGGTTCAGTCTTGCTGAATGGCACTTGTACATGTGGAGGCACTAAAGGGCTAAACCTCTGATTAGTGCATGACCTTGTCTGCCACCTGCACAACAGCAAACTAGCATGCATTTCTGTATTTGGATCTCCCCCCCAAAGATAACTAAAAGTCTTCCTTAATGAGTCTAAACATCCTGCTGAATAAACATTAAAAATAAAAACTGCTGTCACTCTACTGCAAGCATTGCTGCTTTTCTTGATTCAAAAGCTGACAATTTATTTTTCAAGTCATGTGCATGCGTGTGTGTGTTTGGAGTACTTTAGATGTGAGGAAGTGAAAAAAAATCAATTTTTAAAAATGGCTACAGAGGACAGCTGGGGGTTTTTGTTCTGTTTTGTTTTCTCTTTAGATGAAATGTAAATATGAGTGGGATTGTGTTATGATTGTAGGACTTATATCACTGCTGATCATGCGTATAAACAAACAAATACAGGAAGCGGATATAAACAAGTGAAAATGAGCTCTGGACAGGCAGAAACCAAGTGAGAGACACAATTTGCGAAAGCGGGATTTGGAGAGCAGAAGAGAAACTGCAAGGCAACAGAAATGAGAGTTAAAGGTCATAAGAAAAACATAGTTTACAACCCAAACCGTACAGATTTGATGCTCCGACTTAAAACTCCAAGATTTCCCTGCGAAACAAAGTGCTGCAGGGATGGAGAGGGGGGCATCGTAAGCCGGAGATAAACAGATCCATGTTGGGGTCAGAGGTGCCATTGCACTTATCACTTTAGCATATATACGAGTCCTGGTTTAAGACACACTTTTTACAACTTACACATGTCTAGTAGCATGCGAGTAATAGCCACCACATGTTTGTGCTAAATCCATTTCTTTCCAACCATGATGAGAGCCTTACTTTCAAGGTTGGGTCAGAAACACACTGACACACTAGGAAAAAATTGGAACAATCAGCAGAAGGAAATGCTTCTTCACTGTTCAGCCCTCTTCATTCAGAATAAATAAAGGAACCTGTATTTTTTTTTTTTTTTTTAAAGAGATTTAGTAAGTATAAACCTTCCTTATAGGCATGGGATGAAGCAAAATTTACAGGTTTGGTGACCAGGCTTTCAACCTGTGCAGCTTGCTCAGCCTGTGTGGATTATTACACCAGATGTCTTTCCTCAGCCTATAAAATATCCCCATTCACAAGGTATAATTAAACATTTACTGCCTGGTGCAGAGCCTTCCTATCATATTTTCATGAGAGAAGCTTAATAAAAGCATTTGTGGTCATTTCACTGTAGCAAAATCATCTCCGGCAGAGAAGTCTTGCTTGGGGACACAGCATGCACGCAGCAGACACGCACGCTCATACCACAGCAAAGGCTCCTCATGCACATCTGTGAACCAGAGATAGAGCACTATCTGTCCAGAATGTCATTAACTACCACCGCTGTAGATTTATATTCACTCAGTTGTGCCATATGAGCTTGTACAATTACATCCATAGTCTGGAGATCTTCTGCGAGTGGACACGTTGACATAAAATTACCAAGTCTGGGGAAAATGTAAATTAATACCCCACATCATAGGCAGCAAAGGTTGCTAACTTAATATAATGAACGTAAATGTGATGCATAGTAAGAGATGAGACAGGAGTATGAGACATGTAGGCGTTACTAAATGAATGAGAGGGGGAACAAATGTATTTCACTATAGTACCCTCGGGCTGTGGTTTCAACTTGTAACATCGGCAGTGCCATCTACAGGTTGAGAGGAGACATAGCACCTTCAAAGACCATCTCAGGACTATCATTGGGCAAGATCTGAAAACCAATCGTGCTGGTGTGACACCATCTCTCTGCCACTTGGGGAAAAACTACTACTTGACCTATACCTCAAACCTGGAGTTTTGTATATTATATTAATCTCGCCAAGCACTCCAGGTTCCTCCTGCAGTCTAAAGACATCCATGAGTTTAGGTTAACCGGGGGTCCTAAATTAACCATAGAACGTGAGTGTGAATTATTTTATCTATATCTCTGCATTACCCTGGGACAGGCTGACAGATTGTCCAAGGTGTACCCTGCCTCTTGCTTCGTGACAACTAATATAATCTAGAGCCCCCTGAAATGATAAGAAAATCAATGGACATAATTCATACTGGTCTATTTCTGAAAATGCTGATCTACTGGATTTTCCTACACAACCATTTCTAGGATTCACAGAAAATGGAATTACAGCGAGAAAATATCCAGTGAGCAGCAGGTCTTTGGGTGCAAATGCCTTGTTGATGGCAGAGAAGAATGGCCAGACTGCTTCAAGCTGA